CATTTAAAGTTGTCCCAGAGGTTCCTAAGCCTCTCCTCATTTTTTTAAATTCTTGTTTCTTCATTGTATTCTGGTAGAATGTTTATTTCTTACTTTTGCTCCAAACCATTGATTTGAGTCCTGGTTTCCTTCTCTTCACAGTTGGTTCCCTGTATATTTTTCCTTGTTTCATTTCACATAGTTTTCATTTCTTTCTCTACTTTGCAACCTTACTGAATGATTTCTGTGAGCATCCTGATTATCAGTGTTTTGAACTCTGCATCTGATAGGCTGGCTATCGCTTCATTGCTTAGTTCTGTTTTTGGAGCTTTGATCTATTCTTTCACCTGGGCCATTTTTTTTTAATTTTTTTTTGTCTCGGCATGCCTGTTACCTTGTAAGGAGTGAAGCCTTAGGTATTCGCCAGGGCCAGGCAACCCACTTCGCTATGTTGTGGCACCGTCTGTAGCTGAGAGGTTGGAGAGGGAGCAATGCCACTTGCTCGGCTCTCAGCCAGCTTTCAATCACTTCCCCTGCTACCCACAAGCAAATTGGGCCCCTTCTAGTGCTGATTCCCAGGTGGGTAGGCTTTTGCACATTCTAGGACCTTGTGTGTCTCTCCAGTCAACCCTCCTGTGAGGCTGGGAGTTTCTTCTGCTGCCACTGCAATCCCCACAGGTTTTTATAGCCAAAGGTTTTGAGGCTTTATTTCCCCACTGGAACCCTGGGTTGCTCAGTCTGTCTCACACCCCAGTTGTTCCTCCTAGTTTAGCTGCATGCAAATATGGCATTGCCTGGTCCTCCATCTGCTACCTTGCCAGGTGTCCTCTCTGCCCCGGCTGCCCATCTCTGCCTCTCCTACTAATCTGGATGAATGTTTCTTCTCTAACTCTTTGGTCATCAGACCTCTATACAGTTTGATTTTCTGGCAGTTCTGATTATTTTTTGTTTTTAAATTTGTTGTTACCCTTCATTTGGTTGTGTGAGGAGGCAAAGTGTATCTACCTATACCTCCACCTTGGCCAGAAGTCCAATTTCTGATCATTTTGAGTGATGGTTGTTCTTGAGTTTAGTTATAATTTTGATGTGATTGTGTGAGGAGGCTACCCTTGTATACCGATGCCTCCATTTTGACCAGAAGTCTTGGTACTAGTCTTGTAAATAACAGAAAATCGTCTTCAAAAATCTAAAGATGGCAGTTTCAGAGTCAATTAAAGCCATAAGATATGCTTTATTTGAACAGCCTCTTCCTTTATGAAGTTGCATTTGAATATCTTTCAGAAAGACAGAAATTCTCACTTTTGCCACTGGCTCCTCACTTCCTACAAAGGCAATTGTGTTCTAAATCACTGGTTTATAAACTTTCAGGGCTGCCTGGCCTTCTAGAACTAGACCTCCGAAGACCATGTTTTAAAAATGTATCTTAGAGAGTGTTGATGGCTTGTTAAGTTTGGGATATGCAACAGCCCCTGCAGTAGAAATATTCCCAACCGGTTCTGTTCATAACTTTGGTTGGGACAAGGTTTCCTGTACATGCCCCTCTCTTTACACATGGTATCTGAGGTCCCCTATTCTCAACACAGGACTGTGCAATGCCTACTGTCCTCTGGTGATAGTGGGCTGGTGGGGGCCATCCTCTAGGACAGCTCATTTCAGAGCCCCTTCCTTGCTTCCTGCTTCTTCTGATGGGACATTCTATTTCTTGCTCCCATTCTGAGTGCTCCAAATTCCTCCACTCCACCTTTTTGCTCTCTCTTTTCCTATCCCAACCCCAGCCTTAGCAGATTAGAGAGCAGAAAACCATTCTGTGAAAAAGCATCCAAATCCTTCTCTCTTGCACATGACACCCCTGGTATTTTTGTTGGGTCTTTGTTTCTGCATTGCTGGAGATGGAAGCAGGTAGTATATTAATAAAAAATATACAGCTTAATACTGTGAGATATTTCTTGATAAATCAAATAAGAAAGCTACAGGACCTATAAAGGTAATCATAAAATTTTATTGAACATAAAGTAAGATTTGAACAAATGAATAGACTTACTATGTTTTTGTATGGGAAGTCTAAATGCCATGAAAAAGTCAATTTTCCCAAAATTATATATATATATATATAATATATGCAACTGCATATATATAACAATGCAACTGCAATTAGAATCACAACCAGAATTTTTAAAAAATCTGTAATTAGCCCTGGCTGGTATAGCTCAGTGGATTGAGCATGGCCTGCGAACCAAGCAAAGCATCAGTGGTTCAATTCCTATTCAGGGCACATGCCTGGGCTGTAGGCCAGGTCCCCAGTAGGGGGTGCGCTAGTGGTAACCACACATTGATGTTTCTCTTCCTTTTTCTCCTTCACTTCCCCTCTCTCTAAAAATAAATAAAATCTTTCTTATTTATTTATTTATAGATTTTATTTATTTTTAGAGGGGGAAGGGAGGGAGAAAGAGAGAGAGAGAGAGAAACATCAATGTGAGGTTGCTGGGGGGCTGTGGCCTACAACCCAGGCATGTGCCCTGACTGGGAATCGAACCTGTGATGCTTTGGTTCACAGCCCATGATCAATCCACTGAGCTATGCCAGCCAGGGCTAAAATCTTTTTTTAAAAAACCTGTAATTAGATATGTTCATATGGAAGAATAAATGCCCAAGTATAGCCGAAGAAATTATAAAAAAGAAAACAAAATACTTGCCTAAAGGGAGAGCAGAAGCAAACTGTTAATATCTCTATAACTTAGGTATTAAGTATATAATGTGTCTCATTATTATTTTCTGTGTCATTTTATGAAATATAAAAATGTTTCATAATTTAAAATGAAAAAGTAAAAGGCTGTGAATGAGTTAGTAATATGTTCAGCTGCATATTTTAAGAACCTTAAATGAGTGGCTTAAAAAACAAAAATCTGTCATTGTTCTCCCACACATAAAATAAGCCCAGAAGTTGAGAGTTGAGGGCTTGTGTGGTGGCCTCCATGGCCATCAGGGACCCAGAGTCTTTTTCTCTGTCTGCTCTATGATCTTAGCACATGGTGTCTGTCCTCAAGGTCACCTTATGTCATCAGCCATCATTTCTAAGTCCAGGTGTCAGGGAAAAAAGGGAGCAACCTTCATTGTAACTCCACACAAAACTTTTGTGCATGCCTCTTTGGGAAATATTTAGTTACACGGCTACACAGAAAGGCACCAGAGGCTGAGAAATTACCTTATTCCAGGGCCATGTACACTGCTAAACATTTAGTTGTTTTCTTTTCCTGATACCTATGTATGTTTTCTGGGATGTTATTTGGCCTTATGTGAAGAAAATAAAGGGCTTAAGGGAATTTAGTGAAAATGTTCAGTTAACAGAGGAGTCAGCAAAAAGCCTGAACAACTGTAAAGTGTTTAATAAAATTTTTCCATTATACAAGTTAGGGAAGGAAGGAAGCCTTCCAGTATCATATCATTCCCAGATGACCAGTTATTTTTATAGAGATAACAGTGGGGAAGTTTGGTTGCCAAACAGTGATTTTACACTCTCCGGGCTGCCAGAGGAGAACCGTTGGTGCACGAGTGAGGCCACACCTGGACCTCAGCCCAGGGATGTTTGCATACTCTGCAGAGAGTTTTAAAATTTTTGAATCATCTGGTACAATTTCTTTAAATCATATTTCAGGTGCCAGTCCTTATTTTAGATTTTTTGGACCAACTGGAAGATCTGGCCACCCTGGGCCAGAGCAGTGTGGCAACTGCCTCTGCAAGCTCACTGTCCGCACCCTGCCCCTCGCTCATTCAGGTGCCTGACCGGTGCCTGCAGGCACGTGATGGTGCAAACTCTGCATTAGGAATTAACCATAAAGTGCTTTTCTCCCTGATCAATGCCCTGTGTCCCAGGCAGTTCCAGTAAAACTATTTGCTACTGCTGTGTGCCTCCCACATCCTACCATGGCTTTCTGTGTTAAATTGTCAGACCCTTCCTCCCCTGTGGCCCTCTGTCTTCTGTTTGCTACTCTGCTAGCACCATACACTAGGTACTACTGTGCCAACTGAAAGATTGCCACGGGCCAGAGGATTCATGTATCCAAACATGCCTGATACATAGTAGGTACTCAGTAAATGTGGGTTTCATTCCCTTTTCCCTTCTCAACACGGTGCCCAGCACATGCTGGAGACATCTGAATGTTGGAAGAGGCTGCCCCATTGCATAAGCCAAGTCACAGCATGGCACCCAATCTACACAGAATTTGTGTATTTGTGTAAAATCACCTTTTGAAAAATGCAATCCACTATCACATTTCCCAGATGGCAACTATGAGAAAGTGTGTTTGAAACTGTTTCATTCCTAATTCACCTACTCCATGTCAGGAAAGCATCAGGATCAACTGACATCCACCCTCTCCCTTGGGCACTTAAAATCCATTGTCATCAAGGTCTACCTTTACAAATATAATTTTCAGAACGAAATTGTGGAATTCTAAATCAAATGACAAAAACTTTCAATCAGAATTCTTGTATCCAAAGGCTAAATTTAGACATTAAATTTATAAAGGTTTGGTTCAATCAAAATATTCAACATAATATTTTTATTGCTACAGTTAAATGCGATATAGAGGTGATTAGGACAAATTTTTATTAACAAATTACATCTCACTTTAATGGTTCAGGGGTTGTCATGAGGCCTAGAAGTATTATTTTGGAATTTGTGGGAGAGATACAGAATGATGTATTTCAGAATGTACTTTTCACCTTCCCAAGAACACAGGGCAACAGGAAGCCAGCATCCAAGTGTACCCCTCTGCTGAATTGTTTTCATTTTGTCTAGGGGAGACACAGATAGACAAGTTTTTAAAACATTTCTCAGGATCATTCATATCCAGGCAGAAGAGAGGTAATTTTTATTTTAGGAATTCACCAAAAAGGTGTGCATTCCATAGCCACACCATCATTTACAATGTCAGTCATCATTATAGCAGCATTCTGAGTTTACTGGGGTTCTCTACCTTTGGAAGTGGCCATAATCTTCCTGTGCATCTTTTATTTTTCAGTATAATCAAGTGTACAAGAACCTAAAAGAGTTTTCTCAAAATGGAGAGAATTTCTGCAAGCAGGTCACATCCATTCTTCAGCAAAGGTACAAAATGTGTGTTTGCAATAAGCAGTTCTTCCTCTTTAGTCCCAGCAAGTGGTATGACTGGAGGAGGCCTTACAAGCTGTCCAACTTCCCAGAGTGCAGTGTTATATTGTGGTACTTGAGAGATTGGTTAGAAGAGTGATTCTTCTGTGTTGCACATTTATCACTCGGGTGCCGTAAAAATCAGGGAACAGCGGGAAGTAATTCTGCTTGGGAATGTTCAATCAAGTCTCTTCTGATTCCTCAGCCTGAGGATCACCCCCTCCTGAGCCTACCATTCCTCCTGTTGCAACTGTTGTGTTTCTCACACTGATGGCAGTTATTAGTTGACATCTCTTTCTCCCCTACGAGGGCAGGACTGTGTCTTATTCACCTTTGTATGTGGAGCTCTTACAGCTTGGACTTTGGACTTCTTCAATAAATGTCCTGTAAATGATTAGAAAAATCATTCTAATCATCCATCCATCTAATGCATGAAAGGAAGTTCACCATTTTCAGTATCATCTTCTTTTAATGCTAAGTGTGACCATGTGTAACTCTCTTCACTGTGCTGAAATGAGCACATTTAACTCAGTCAAGAAGTTATAAAAGTTTCTGCTTAAATTTAGAGAATGCAAGGACTGAATTGGGCCATAAAGATGTAGACTATTTTTCTACCATTCAGCAGCTCTGTAGTAAACAACTTTAAAGAGACATTTACCCTGGATTGTTTATTCTTTTTAAGGTAACCCATTTCAAATTTAAATAATTGCATGTGTACCTTACGAACAAGACACAAGGGCTGATTGCATCCTGCTCTAGTAGGTCAAGAACAAAAGAGAACATCAGCTTTATCAGGACCAAGTAAAGATACAGAGGAGCTCAGACAGACTCTTACAAAAAAAATAACCAGGTTTGGCAAGCAAAGTTGAAAAAGAAAAAAAATTAAGATAAGAAGTTATTTCTGTCTTAATAGCCAAGTGGCTTTGATTCTGTGACAGGAACAGGGAGGACAATCTAGAACAGAATTTCTCCTATAAGAAAGTAATTTTATCAGTCTCAAAGGAAATTATTTCAAATAAGACCAGTTAACTATTAAGCAAACTTAACCCATGGCCTGAGGAGAAACATCTCCCTCCTGCAGATCAGGAAGAATCTACACATTATTAGCCATGCATGTGATCTGGGGCAGTTATCTAGACCTTGATTATTTGGTGTCCCCCTGTTCAAAATTAGAGCCTGATAGAGAGCTGTAAAGACCAAAGGCAGGTGATAAATTATGCCTGGCAAATAGACTTAATAATGAACTGAATAAATTTGGGGAAATCACTGCTCCAAAACTGCTGTGTCCAGGTCTCTCTGCATCTGTACCCTGACACAGATGAGTCAGAACATTACTTCTTCCTGTGACTCCATTGAAATTGCTTCCTAGGGCTCCTATCTGTCCCATACCTATTTAGGTGCAAAACCCTCCATCCACATATCCCAGAAAAGCACATAAGCTCCAATGAAAGAGACACACTTGGGTAGCTAAATATCTACCTTCATAGTTTTACCTCCTTATGGAACAGAATTTAGATTTTGAAATCTAAAGAATACTACTAGTTAGCAAGATTATGTGCATATCTCTAGGATAAAATCTGCATAGCACAAATACAAAAAGCGGATCTGATGCGAACTCTGACCATCGGTGTACGTGGTGTTGTGGAGGCAATGAACAAATCCACACGGACTGCAGAAGTCCTGTGGAGAAAAGGGACAGCATGGCCACTCTCTGAGTGAGAGAGCACCCTGACCCTTGCCTGGACAGGCTTTTATTGCTTTCTAGGAGCATTACATCAAAGAAGGCCCTCATTCATTATGCACAGGTTTGCTTTACGTAATTACTTTTTACAGATAGCAAAGAAAAGGATGTTGCAGATGCAAGGGAAAAAGTGGTTGAACTGGTTACACTCCATCCTTGGGAGGTTTAGTTCAGACTTTAGGAAGTTACTTCAAAGATATGCATTAAACATTTGCTGCCTTCATTCAGGGTAAGGCAGTTTTAGCAAAAGCAAGCCTCAAAGCAGCCTAGGTACAATGCAGGCCTGGTTCCCCATGGGAAAGCCAATCTGTGGACCTGGCTCCTGTGTGCTGCCTCGCACCTGTTGGTTTTCCGAACCAAGGCTGAGCTACGCTTCCCACTGCCATGCAGACTGGTTCCCTATACAGATCTAGTGTTTCACTCAGGCCAAAAAATTATCTTGATATTAGGTCATTTATTCAATAGATAATGTCCAGAACATTTTGTAACACTTACCTTGTACAGCTAACTCATTTCCTCTTAACCAAAATGACATTTTTGAGTGGCTTTATATTCATTCCTGATAAATGTGCACTTGGCAATGTCTCTTTACACTTGGGCTTTAAGCTTTCCTCCCTTTGCTCAGCTAGCTGATCATGTAGTTAAACTGAGGGACGTTCATCCACCTTAAGAGTTGGTATTTGGGGAGAATTGTTTTCTGAGGGACACAAGCTCAATTAATCTAAGAATATCAGGCACATTGCGGTTATTTTAGAGGGTATTCCTACATGACAGCTGGGAAGGACAAAGGCCACTTCGCTTGCCAGGGATGGATCATTTCTTTCCCATTGGGAGTGATTTTTTCTTTTTAAGATTTTGTTTATTTATTTTTAGAGAGGGGAGAAGGAAGGGAGAGAGGGAAACATCAATCAGTTGCCTCTTGCACTCACATGCCTTGACCAGGAATGGAACCAGTGACCTTTCAGTTTGCAGGACAGAACTCAACCTACTGAGCCACACCACCCAGGGTATAGGGAGTGATTCTGAAATGACCTTTTCCTGTGGAGTTGGAACTGAGTCAACGTAATAACCATAGCAAAAGGATGAATGGTCACAACACAACTGATGTTACAATTGCCTTTACTGTCCCCATTCTGTGAGTTCCTTAATTATTTCCCTATACATACAAATGATAAAAAGCTGTTTCCCACCGGCTGTCCACACATTAGTGTTGGGTTTCTTTTTCTCTTAAATGACTGAACTTATTACATATGAATCAATGATACCTTTCCCTTGCATTAAAAAAAATACCTGGGACACCAATACTCTTTAAAAGAAACTGTTACTAAGAGTATAGGCAAAGAAAACAGTATTCTTGGAAAACATATAGGAAGCATTTCTACTGAGGGTTATGATACAGAAAATCATAAGGGCACATCCAGTGGCCAGCATCAAGAAAGACATGGGGCTGCTTTGAATTAAGGATACCTGCCGCATAAAGTACATTCAGTAGATACTTCTAGCTTGAATGAATGAATAAATGAAAGATGGTTAAGGGTTTACTTTCTATTACAACCACATTATTTGAGCAGGGTCTTTATTATCCTTGGAATGTGGTTCTGCAGAACAGTTCTGTAATAGCGCATGGCTACCAGACAGAGCATCATAATCAGGCTGTGAGTTCAGAGAATGTTTCATTTTCAATCTCAGCTGCCTTCTTGCATTTGTTCTAATTGGTGGTGATAGAAAAGTGTAGTTGTTACTGAAACACCATTTTTTCCTGGAAATTCTGCCATTCACAGTCATGCTTAGCTTCTTTTATCCAATTAGTTGCTTCAGTTTTCCTTTTTTTGTAGTATCGACTCAGATTTATCCAGAGACACACAGCAGCTCCTAAGATGCCTCATGCCAGAATCATTGGGCTCACTTTAACACAATTACAGATCAGATTTTAAAAGACAAAGACATATTCCCAGAAACTATGAGTGTTTGGTTCCCTGCCCCTTCACAGCTAATGTTTAAACAGGCCATTGTTCCATCCATGATTCATTGTAGATGTTGTCAACAAAGGAATAAATAATTAAAAGAAAATCTCTGATAAATTTTTGATGGGAAAAATCAGTTGTTCCTCTGTAAGGAAGTTTAAGATTAGGTTTTCAAATGGCAAGTACCCCTGTTCTGGAAAGAAAAAAGGAGAAGGGAGGGAGGGAGGGAGGAGAAGGAAGGAAGGAAAGGAGAGAGAAAAGAAAAGAAAAAAAAAAAAGAAAAGAAAGTTGGCCATTGTTCCATCCATGATTCATTGTAGATGTTGTCAACAAAGGAATAAATAATTAAAAGAAAATCTCTAATAAATCCTCACTTTTTCTACTCCACCCATAGCCTCGTGATCCACAGCTTCAGCTTCCTTTTGCATATTGATGATTCCCAGAGGTATATTACTATAGACAATAAGTCTTATCTGTACTTCAAATCATATATCCAGCAGTCTATTGGACAATTCCACCTGGGTGTCCCATGAGCCTCAAAGCCAGCCTGTCCAAAACAGTATCTATCAGCTTTTCCTCAAAGCTGGAACTCCTGATTTTTTTTTTTACCATGGTTACTAGGACCACTGGCCACCCAATAAAGCCCAATACCTGGGAGTCACCCATGATCTCTTCTTCCGTCTCAACTTATAACCAAATCATCATTATTTCTTCTAAACACTTCTTATACCTTATAGCTTTCTTTTCATTTCATTGCTTCTGCCATGTTCTGGAAAAAAATCTCTGAACTCTTTCTTCCGTCTAGGGGTGCTGCTTTCCAGCTGTGCAGTTCATGCACTGTGCGAAGGCCCTGTGAAGGCTGGGATGGAAACCACTCTCAACCCTTGAGTCTTGCACCCTGGCTCAGAGTTGCATTCCCTCACAGCATCTTCTTTTTCTAGCCCAAGCAACTAGGGACCTGGCTAGGGCCTTATCTCTCTCTCTGATTCATCATCCATTCTGTGGCCATGACCCTGTTTAAGACCTTTTAAAGACTCCCACCACCTTCAGTATAAAATTCAGGCCTCACAGTATTTTCTAAAAGAAATCTAGATTCTTCCTCCATATGAAGCTTGTCTCTCCATCTTCCCGTAACCCATGTTCCTCTCCATCTTACTGAACCACTTGCAGGCACCCCCAGTGTGTCCCTGCTGCCCCTCCCACCCCTCCCACCCACTCCTACCTCTCATCTTGGGTCCTTGCATTGTGCAAGC